CAGTCATTTTTAGGAGTGTTTTGGTGCATCCATTAGGGTCTTTTATGTATATTCTCACGATAATTACAAATAGTGTTATGCGGAGAGTTTAGACTTTATCAAAATGTACTCACAACTCTCTCTTAGTTCTGTGCTCAGGTATTATTTCTGCTGGGATATGGAGGACCATATATGGTGGCAGAGATCAAATCCTGGTTGGTCTTTTCTTTTTTTTAAATAACTTCATTAAGTCATTAGTTGAGTTACAGACAATCAATATTCCAGCACCAATCCCACCACCATTATTTCCAATTTTCCCAACCACCCCTAGAGCTGCCCCCATAGCAGCCCTCAAAAAATTTTTTTTACATTGCTTTTTATGAATACCTTGCTAAAAGGATGACCAAAGAATGTTTCCTTAGGAGAAAGTTAGTGAAGATTGCTTCTCACCATGGAGCCCTTAAGCCCTTGAAGAAGAGATTACTAAAATGTTGCTACAGGTTAGGTCTCTTGTGTTTATATTTTGTTGAGATTGGTTACCTTCTACATTACATCTCATTCAATCTGACATGCTGCTACTCCTGGTTTATCAGTGTTATAGAGTTTGAGATGTTGCACAGTGGAACTTTTGAATGAAGTGATATAGCTGGAGTTAAATACTTAATTGACTGGCGACTTTGGGACGTGTGCGTGGCCACCAGGCTTCCTGGAAGTACAGGGATTTGGGAGGAGGTAGCTCATCCCTGGCTCTGTGAAAGCTGGAGAATTTAATCACAAAACCTGCACACTTGAGTTTTTCAGCAAATTAATTTCTGGATGAGGTTTTTCTGAGCAGTGGGGTCCAGCTGGGAGCATGGCGGTGATCAAACCCTGTTGGTCTTGTGCAAGGCAAGCACCCTATCCCCGGTACTATCGCTCAGGCCCCAAAGAGTGATAGTGTTAGTGGCCCCTGCATGAATTTAGATTCCTTTCAGATATTTTCCTTGCAGAGCTGTTTTGAATAGAAATTTAAATACTATCTTGAAGGTGGTGGCCGTAGCAGACATCCTAAGACACTTTCAGCCTCTCACCAATCAGTACGTTGTTAGCTGTGGGTGTGTCCTCGATGGTGATTGTTACATTAAAAGGAATTCTTTGTATTGCCAATGCACTGAGTTAAAACATCAGCAATTGGAGGGGTAGGGCTGGGACGACCCCACAGGGAAGAGCTTCGTGAGTGCTGCCAAGTACCAGCTCTCGGACCCCATAGACCCAGTGAGCGCACACACGCGGCAGGAGGGGCTGCTGAGACAGTCACCCGGGAGAACAGTGTCCCGCAGGGAGACTCAGGCAAGACCGAGCTAAGGACTGTCCTCTGGGTCGGGGACGGAGTAAGGGGGCTGGCGAACTGGGGCTGTGCCCCAGTAGAACCAGAGGTCTGAAGTGGCATCAGCTTTGCTGACCCTTGCTAGGTTGGAGAGACTTGGATCGTGCTGAGTCCGATAGCAGGGGACAGCTGTCCACCCCCCGCCCCCCGCATGGTGTCCCTGACCGAGCTGCACCCTCAGCTCTGCCCAGAGATGCCCACACAGGCTCACCACCTGAACTGACTGTGTGGGGTGGGGTGGGGCGCTCAGCGCCAAGGTGTCCCTTTACTTTCTTTGGTAAAAGCAAAAACGGACAAAAGAAATCCCCAAATCCAGAATTGAGATTTGAATTTAAACTCACTGAGTTGTAGAGAGTCTTGGGACTTGCTAAACCCCGTGAAGGTGGGACAGACCCTGGCCCAAATTGGGGGCATCTGCCCTGAGGTGACCCCCAGTGGCATGACCTGCCTCCTGCCAGTCACAGCCGCAGCTGCAGCTAAGAGTCCACTCCAGGGTACAGACCCAGAGCCTCCGTCCCCCGCACCTGACAGACTCAGACCCCAGGGAGCTCCCCACTGTGGGCACCAGACTCCGTCCCCACTGGAAGGGAGAGGACAGTGAGCGCACAGGGGCCCCAAGGGTCAGTGTGGAGCCTCGGCATGTGGGAGTGGGCAGCCCCCAGCATGGCAGCTGGGAACAGCTGTTTGTGAGGTCAGCCTGGTGCTGCAGTGAGGAGCAGACCCCAGCGGTGGTGCTGAGTCAGCCCAACGGCCACTGCTGGGCGCCGTGACACACGGCCAGTCACTGCTCCCATCACACCAGCTGCCAGACAGTGGCCAGTGGGACCCCCGGACCTGGCTCAGCACAGTCACAGGGCACAGGTGCCACAAAGACCCTGCTATCTGTCATCGTCCAGGTGACAGCAGAAATGTAAAAGGTTCTAGTCTGTCTTCTGAACCTGCCATCTGCCGTGACCTTCATGAAGGGGAAGGTCAAGACCTGGATTCCAACTTTTCTTGCCCTCGTGTTTCCTGTTTCTTGCTCTTGACAGAGATCAGCTCTACGCATCTCCTTGCTTTCCTGCCATAAATTTTCACCATTGGGACTGCTCCCTCCTTTTGAAGAATCAGCGTGCAAGACAACCCTATGCAAAAGTGTACAAGAGGCTCAGATCCACCAGTTGTATCTTTGCAAATGGCAAGGCCATCCTTGATGATGAGATACTCAAACACAGGATTGGCCAGTCAGCGTGGGACAGCAGGAGAGTGGGTGAACAGGAACAACCTGCAGTGCTGGTATGTAGCACTGTGCTCCCCTTTGATGCAGCAGTGGAAGCACCTCCCTGGAGCTCCCCATCTGATACTGCAGGATGAGAAGCTCCTTCTGCAACCTGGGCACCCGCTGACACTGCCCTGACTCAGGATCACTCTCCCACCACCTTCAGTCTTTACGTAAGTGTGTGCAAAGTGCGGGTAACATACAGGGCACTGCAGTGGGCACTTGGGGCACGCCCGAGAGGAATGTAAGGCTCAGTGCCTTGCAGAACTTAGGGCTTATGAGAAACAGCAAGACACAACAGAAAAAAAAGTACAGAAAAATTGAGGTCTTTCCCATCCTTTGTTGATTCTGATGTATCTGATGTTTTTGGACACTATTTTGGATAGGGCTGTCAGTTTTGTTCTTCTTGGACCACGTTCCACAGTGCTCAGGGCTCTGCACTCAGGGATCACTCCAGCCAGGCTCAGGGAACCATATGAGGTGCTGGTTTCAAACCCAGGTTGGTCGTGAGCAAGGCAAGTGATCTGCCTCTGTAGCATCCTTCCAGCCCTGAGTGGGGCGTTTTATTTTTCTTCTAGTTCTTTATTTGCACATGGCAATGAAACAGATATTTTTGTGTTACTGATTTTGAAGCTTGCTAGTTTTCTCTACTGGTTTTCTATTTCTAAGTTTTTTTGGTATAATATTTAGGATTTTTCTGTGTGTGTGTGTGTGTGTGTGTGTGTGTGTGTGTGTGTGCACGCGCGCGCGCTATTATACCATCTGCAAAGGTGTGATAGTTTAGCTTCTTTTCCAGTTTGGATCCCTTTTACTTCCTTTTTCCTGCCTGATTGCTGGGGCACTTCCAGACTGTATTGCCTGTAAGTGGAGAAGGGGGACATCCTGGCCTTAGGCCTGCTCTCAGAAGGAAGGCTGTTTGTATTGTTGGCTGTGAGCTTGTTGTGAGCGGACATTGCTATCCTGAGATGTTCCTTTGTTGGTCACACCCTTTGATGCTCAAATCCCTGGCTGTGTGCTCAGCTGTCACCCACCCCTTGGTGTACCAGATGTGCCGGGGGTCAAACTGGGGCTGGTCTCATGCAGGCAAGTGCCCAGCCCGCATTAACCATCTCCTTGGCTCTGGTTTGCTGGTTCGATCCTTAGTTTTGCTCTACCCCTTGGCCCTTTCTCTCCCCCTGCCTCCTTCCCTCTCTCACCCGTCCTGTGAGACTGGATAAGGCAGGGCCTCCTCCCCTGGCCACAGCCTTCTGCCCCCAGGTCTGACTCAGCCTTCCCTGTGGCCCCTCAGGCGGGTGCACTGACATCCCTCTCTTGCTTGCTCCTGGTAGAGTGCTCGATCCATCCCAGCCTCACGTCACTGCTCATGGTCCTAGTGCAGGGGGCCCTGGCATGGGGCCCAGGAGGTGCCTCGTGAACCTTCTGGGGGGCTGTGTCCTGCTTCAGTCCTACAAATATCTTGGGAAAAGTGATAGAAGGCTTGACCTGGAGCACAGGGCCTGGACACTTGGATGCTCAGGCCCCTGGGCTCTGAGTCCATGGAAGCAGATGAAGGTTTGCACCCGGGCCTGTGAGGCTCCACTTTGTCGCAGGGGCAGGTCACACCCTGTGAACATCAGGCCCCCTCCCTGCAGTGGGTCAGACCCGGGGCCTCGCCCGTACACACCTCCCTTCCCATCCTGCATCCTTCCATGTGACTTAGTTCCAGCATACCCCTGGGCGATTCCCTGCCCTGCTGGCACCATCCCCCTGCCCCCCACCTGGTGCCGTGACTCTGACAATACAGGGTCTACATGTCTCTGCCCCCTGACCCTAGCAGTAGCAGCACACAGAACTCTGGGGTCTTTCAACCTTGGTTACATGAGAGCAAGGGGACTCGGCAGATGCATCATCTAGTTACCTGAGAACAGATGAACCTGCCAGGTGCCGTGGGTAGTGGGGTATCATCTAGTTACCTGAAAGCAGGGGACCCGCCAGGTGCACCATCTAGTTACCTGAGAACAGACGGACCCCCAGGTACCATGGGTAGTAGGGCATCATCTAGTTACCTGGGAGCAGGGGACTCGCCGGTGCCCTGGGAAGTGGCTCATCCTCTAGCTCCATATTCGGCTGCAGGGACCCCTGTGCTGCAGGAACAGGGGTGGCCCTTGAGATCCAGATGGCTGGCAGGCCAGAGAGTGACTTTCTGAGCGGGGACAGGGACCTCTCAGCAGCACCCTGGGCTACTGCAGACCCATTTAGCTTGGCCACTCAAAGACCCGGACAACATGTGGTAGACACCAGGGGATGGTCTACAAGGTTTATTTTGCCTCTCATTCCGCACATTACATGGGATCTTCTGTGCCCACCTAGACTTCTGCAAGCGGGGACATCATCTTCACTGTTTCTGTGTTGCATTGGTCACACTTTTCCCTGTGCCTCTTTGGCTTCATTCTCCTCTTTCCCGGGTTCAGCCAGGATAGTTTTTGAGTTCGCAGCCACGCCAAGAAGAAGAGCAGCCACAAACATATACACACGACAAAAGATAACTCTAAGCTCTATCAGTTTTGCTTTGTTTGGTATTACGAGCAGCTTTCGGAATCGAGGTTGTCCGCCCTCCTTACTCCCACCGGACCCTGGAACAGTGCATTTCGGGGGCTTCCAGCCAGCCCTGCAATGGCAGCTCTTGTGATTGTTACAGATTCCCCGATGGTTGCATTTTTCAGGAGTACAGTCATAGGTTAATTCCCTGATCACTCCGTCACATTTGTTATTAATGCAGAACTTTCCTCTGGAGCAGGGGGCTCCGTTCCTCACTTGGCCGACATCAGCGGTCACTGTTGCTCGGTGCTCATCCAGCCCAAAACACAGGGACGTTGTATCCTCTCTGACCAGAGACTGGTGGAACCCAACGTGCTCTGGCAGCTGGGGAATATTGGTGACGTTGGTACATTGCAGCCTTCCACACTGCACATCTGCCCAGTCGCATTTCTTAGGGATCCGGTTTTCAGGGTTCCGACCACAGTGTCCATAGCGATAGCCGAGTGCATTAATCATGTAGCAGCCCTCACCGTTTCTGGCAGACTGACCGAAGATCTCCTGGCACTGCATGGTGCGGTCAGTGCAGTTCCCCTGGAAGCAGTAGCTCTCCTCGGAGCACGGGGTACCGTCCTGGACGTAGGTGTTATCGGGGCAAGCGTGGTGTGTGCCCAGGCAGTACTCGGGAAGATCACATATATTCATGATGGGTCTGCAGAGGCTGCCGGCGGGGGTGTGCATGCAGTGCTCACAGCAGTCGCCCACGTGACACTGGGTTCCGGGGGTGAGTTGGCACTCAGTCGTGCAGCACGCATCAAGGGAGCACTCTTTGAGCGAGCCACAGTCACACTCCTCCCTGGGGCCCACTGCCCGGTTCCCACAGCGATCCTGTGTCCGGGTTCTGTTTGGGTAAGGTACGATGCTGCTGAACATACACTTGCCATACGAGTTATAAAAGAGGGTGCTCATGTGTGCAAAGGAGCAGTTACTGAAAGAGTCTGTCACCTCAGGGTACCTGTACATGAGGCAGGTGCTTCTCCTCTGACAGACACACTCTGGGGTGTCGTAATACAGACCAATGATTCTCCCCAGGTGATTGGTTGCTGTGATAGAAAGCAGTAGGAAGTGTCTGTCTCCGTGACCAAGCATGACCAGATTTTCATCGTTACAAATAGCACGTGCACTTGGTGAAAAGTCATGGTCTAATGGCCCTCCTGTTATCACTATAAAACCCACGTCGGGGAAGAGTTCCAAATATATATAATACCTATAGTAGGTATGAAACGCGCCTCCTGGCACCCGGTAATCATTCATCTGGGCTGGATCTTTAGTATTAAAGATAAGCAAGATGTAGACGTAGACCCTCAGATCAATGCCACGCAGAAAGGTGTCTATCAAACTGCCTATTCGGACCAGAAACTTGGCACATTCCGTCACATTCTGGAACAGTGAGTACGTGGAGAAAGAGCTCATGAAGAGGCCTTGGATGTGGCCGTGGTGGGTGGCGTATAGCTGGGCCGACAACCTGGGAGACTCACTGACTCGCCGTGGCAGCAGCGGCTCCAGGTCCTCCGTGTCTCCCGGCGGGGATGCGGGTCCCGTGGCCTGGGCGTCAGCCTCCAATTGAGAGACCACATGCTCAAACCGCCGGGAGTCCTTGAGGGGCTTGATCTCGTAGGTGAGGTCATCCAGCTTCATGATGCCGTTCAGGCCCCCGTAGCACGTGTCCAGCGTGACCATGGACAGCGGGGTCTCCTCCAGGTAGCCCAGGTAGTAGCAGTCGGCCGGGATGAAGGGGTAATCGGCCTGCATGCTGCCGTACTCGTCCTGCGTCAGCAGCAGTGGCGGGCCGGGCATGAACAGGGTTTTGCGCCTCATGCGGATCACGTGCCTCTGGCCCCCAAAACGCAGGCTGTAGGACAGCCATCCGGGTAGGGGGACTCCTGTGCCCTGGTACAGCTCCTTCCGAGGGACCACCACCTCCGAGGACACATAGCGCCAGGAGGGCCTGCCCGGAGAACACCGGGCCGGAGCCAGCAACACGCAGATCGTGAGCAGCAGGAGGGGGGTGCGCGGGGGGCTCTGACCCTCTGCCAGCCTCATGCCCAGGCCCAGGGACACCTGCCAGTGAGTAGGGACAAGGGGCCAGGTCTCCGCCATCTGCGGTGGCCAGTGGCCACTCTCTGCCAGGGAGAGAGGTGCTGACTGAGAACAGAGGGCTGCCCCAAGTGGCCTTTGGCTGCTGTGGGTGTGTCCTGACCCTGAGGGCTTAGGTCACAGAGGGCTTTTTGTTGAGGGAGCCCCCGGGCTTGACCACAGCAGAGTGGGGGGGCTCTGCACACCCGCGTGCCAGTGCTGTCACAGTACTCGGAGGCACATTCTCAGGCCACTCCAGGATGAACTTGGTCACTCTGCTCCTCCTGCTCCAGGTCCCAACTGTCCCCACTGTCTCTTCCCTCTAACTCTGGCGGGGCAATGCAGCTGGCCCCTTCAGCTTGGCACTGTGCTCTGCCTCACGCTCCAGCAGCTTTCTGCGGCCTGCAGACCTGGGTCCGAGCCCCCTTGTCCTCTGCAGATTCCTCTGGAGCTCCATCTGACTGACATCTGGGCATATGCAGAGGGGAGAGGGTCAGTTCTTCCCGGCCTGCTGCATGGAGACCTCGGAGTGGCTCGGAATGTGGCCAGAGCGGCCCTGGACAGGTGGGTAGAGCCATCACCGTGTCGGGAGGCGAGTGGTGCATGGGGCCTCGCAGGTTCTCAGCCTCAGCCCTGCCTGGGTGGGGTGTGGCGAGCAGAAGCGCAGATGAGCCAGGCCAGCCGTGCAGCTGCTACCAAGAGTATCTTGCCCTCACGGCAAAGCCTGGAAAGCTACCCATGATGTATTCAATATGCCAAACACAGTAACAATTGTCACAGTGGAGACGTTACGGGGCCCGCTCCAGCAAATCGATGAACAACGGGAGGACAGTGACAGTGACAATGACTGTAGTTTCCTTATTCAGCCATCTTTTCTTGGACGCTTGGGTTGTTGAATATTTTACCTATTATATTTGCCTCCCGCTGTGCTATCACTCCCACAGTAAACAATAGAGCACACATTTATTTTCTGAACAAATTTTTTGAGCCCCGGGGAAGCTGCCAAGAAGTAGAATTGCTGGATCATATGAAAGCTCTATTCTCAGCTTTTTGAGGAGTGTCATATTATTTTCCCAAATGGTTTAACATTGACATTGCCAGCAGCGGTGGGTGAGGGCTCCTTCCCCACTCTCACACAGACCCTGGTTGGTCTTGTTCTTTGTGATACGTGCCAGTCTCACTGGTGTGAAGTTATGTCTCATTGCTGGTTTTTTTCATTTTTCATTTTTTATTTATTTTTTTATTTTATTAAAAATTTTAATAGTGAGACAGGTACAGTTGCAGACTTACACATTTTGGTGCTTGGGTTTCAATTATACAGTGATCAAATACCCATCCCTCCACCAGTGCCCATTTCCCACCACCACGGATCCCAGTATCCCTCCCACCCCCCATAGCCCCCCATCCCACCCTGCCTCTGTGGCAGGGCATTCCCTTTTGTTCTCTCTCTCTCATTGGGTGTTTTGGTTTGCAAAAGAGGCAATGGGTGACAAACATGTTTTGTCTATAGTCTACTTTCCACATGCTTCTTCTATCCTGGGAGGATCCTCCCAACACCTTTATTTGGTGTTCCCTTCTTTATCTGAGCTCCCTTTTCCCCTAGTATGTGTGGTTGGCCTCCAAGCCATGGAGTAAAATTCCTGGTACTAATCTTGGCCAATCTTGGATGTTGGTCTCCTATTTTGTTACTTTATGTTCCCCAGATGAATGCAATCTTTCTATGTCTGTCCCTCTCTTTCTGACTCATTTCACTTAGCATGATACTTTCCATGTAGTACCACTTGTATGTAAATTTCATGACTTCGTCTTTTCTAACAGCTACATAGTACTCCATTGTGTAAATGTACCAAAGTTTCTTTAACCGGTCATCTGTTCTCGGGCACTCAGGTTTTTTCCAGATTCTGGCTATTGTAAAGAGTGCTGCAATAAACAGACAATTGCAGATGTCACTTCGACTATACTTTTTTGCCTCTCTGGGATATATTCCCAGGAGTGGTATTGCTGGATCAAATGGGAGCTCAATTTCTAATTTTTTTAGAATCGTCCATACTGTTTTCCAAAAGGGTTGGACCAGTTGGCATTCCCACCAACAGTGAAGGAGTGTCCCTTTCTCACCACATCCGCGCCAGCACCGGTTGCTTTTGTTCTTGTGGACATGGGCCAGTCTCTGTGGTGTGAAGTGATATCTCATAGATGTTTTGATCTGCATCTCCCTGATGATTAATGATGTGGAGCATTTTCTCATGTGCCTTTTAGCCGTTCGGATTTCTTCTTTGTGAAAGTTTCTATTCATTTCATCTCCCCATTTTTTGATGGGGTTGAATGTTTTCTTTTTGTGGAGTTGAACCAGTACTTTGTATATCCTTGAAATTAACCCCTTATCAGATGTGTAGTTGGTAAATATCCTTTCCCATTCTGTAGACTGTCTTTGTATTTTGGTCACTGTTTCTTTGGAGGTGCAGAAGCTTCTTAGTTTAAGATAGTCCCATTTGTCTATTTCTGTTTTCACTTGCTTGGCTAGCGGTGTGACATCTTTGAAGACACCATTAGCTTCTATGTCATGGAGGGTTTTGCCAACTTTTTCCTCATCATTGCTGTTTTTATTTGCATTTTTCTGATGATGTGATGCAGAGAATTTTTTTTCATAATGATATTTGTATGTCTTCTTTGAGGAAGTTTCTGTTCTCTCTCCCTCATTTTTAAAAATGTGGTTGATTGTTTTTATCTTTTTTAGTTTTACAGCTATTTTATATATCTTGGTCAGATAAGTTGTGGGCAAATATATTTTCCTGTGTGAAGTATCTTTTATTTTATTTCATTTTTGGATTTTGGGCTATACCTTGTGATGCTCAGGGGTTACTCCTGACTTTACACAAGAATTACTCCTAGCAGTGCTCAGGAGGTCTTATGGGTTGCTGGGACCAAACCTGGTTGGCCTAGTGCAAGGCCCTACCCACTGTACTATCTCTCCAGCCCCTGAAGTGTCTTTTAACTCTGGGTCCATCTTTCTTCCTTCCTTCCTTCCTTCCTTCCTTCCTTCCTTCCTTCCGTCTTTCCTTTCTTCTCAATTAATTTTATTTCTCACAAGTGAACAACAAAATTAAATGATGAATTGATACTTTCAAGATTTCTAAAACTATGCTGTGCTGTCATGGAAATCTCTTGTGTATCTTGGATTTTTTAAAAATTGAATCACTGTCATATACACAGTTGCAAAGTTATTCTTAATAGGGTTTCAGTCATACAATGTTCCAATACCCACCCCTTCACCAGTGTACATTTTCCATCACCAGTATCCCCAATTTCCCTCCCACAACCTCTCCCCACAACCTGCCTCTATGACAGGCAATTTTATTCTCTGTCTCTCTTCTCTCTCTCTCTCTCTCTCTCTCTCTCTCTCTCTCTCTCTCTCTCTCTCTCTTTCTCTCTCTCTCTCTCACATACACACACACATACATTCTTTCTCTTTTGGGCATTTTGGTTTGCAATACTTTTACTGAAAGGTCATCATTTTTGGTCCTTTACCTCCGTAGTTCTTATCCAGAGTGATCATTTCTATCACTGTCATAGTGGTCCCTTCTCCATCCTAACTGCTCACCCCGTTGTGGCAAGCTTCCAACCATGGGACCAGTCCTCCTGGCCATTTTCTACTCTCCTTGTCTATTAATATCATACTTTTAAAAAATATCCTACAAATGAGTGCAGTCATTCTATAGCTGTCCCTCTCCTTCTGACTCACTTCACTCAGCATTATACTCTCCATGTTCATCCACTTGTAAGCAAATTTCATGACTTAATAACTACATAGTGTTCTAGTGTAGATGTGCCATAGTTTCTTTAACCAGTTATCTGTTCTCAGGCACTTGGATTGTTTCCAGACTCTGGCTATTGTGAACAGTGCTGCAATGCAGATGGCATTTCTTCTGAGTGTTTTTGGGCCCCTGGGGTACATTTCTAGAAGTGGTATTGCTTGGTTGTATGGAAGCTCAATTTGTAGTTTTTTGAGGAATGCCCATATTGTTTTCCAAAAAAGGCTGGACCAGATGGCATTCCCACCAACAATGAAGGAGAGTCCCTTTCTCCCCATATCTGAGCCAGCAATGGTTGCCTTTGTTCTTTTTAATGTGTGCCAGTCTCTGTGATGTGAGATGATATCTCATTGTTTTGATTTCCATCTCCCTTATTAGTGATGTTGAGCATCTTTTCATATGCCTTTTGACAAGTTGTATTTCTTATGTGAGGAAATTTCTGTTAATTTCTTCTCCCCATTTTTTGATTTTTTTTTCCCCTTTGGTAAAAATTCTACCAGTGCCTTATATATCTTTGATATTAACCCCTTATCAGATGGGTATTAGGTAAGTAATTTTACCCATTTCTGTCTTTGTATCTTGTATCTCAAAACTTTTTTTTGAGGTGCCAAAGCTTAGTTTTATATAGTCCTATTTGTTTATCTTTGCTTCCACTTGCTTGGTCAGTGGTTCATCTTTGAAAAAATCTTTAATTTCAATGTCCTAGTGGTTCTGCCTACATTTCCCTCCATGTACCTTATGGATTCAGGTCTGATATTGAGGTTTTTTCCCAGTTGAATCACTGTGAGATACACAGTTACAAAGTTGTTCATGACTGTCAGGTCAGAATCTATAAGGTACATTGAAGACAAGGTCGGCAAAACCCTCCATGATATTGAGGCTAACGGTATCTTCAAAGACAACACTCCACTGACCAACCAAGTGGAAACAGAGATAAACAAATGGGACTATCTTAAACTAAGAAGCTTCTGCACCGAAAAAGATACAGTGACCAAAATACAAAGACAATCTACAGAATGGGAAAGGATATTCACCCAATACCCAGCGGACAAGGGGTTGATATCAAGGATATATAAGGCACTGGTTGAACTCTGCAAGAAGAAAACATTCAAATCCATCAAAAAATGGGGTGTTGAAATGAGTAGAAACTTTCTCAAGGAAGAAATATGAATGGCAAAAAGGCACATGAAAAAATGCTCTTCATCACTAATCATC